ATGAACAATTCTGAGAGAGGTCCACATGTAGTACCTATATATGTATTATCAAAGCAATTGGACTTGCGGTTTTTAACAAGAAGTCGAAAAATATCACTTTTTACCAAAAATGATAAAAATATTCACCAAAATTAGAGAATTAAAGATATCATTACAAAATGAACAATTCTGAGAGAGGTCCACATGTAGTACCTATATATGTAATATCAAAGAATTGCACTTGCGGTTTTTAACAAGAAGTCGAAAATATCACTTTTTACCAAAAATGACAAAAATATTCACCAAAATTAGAGAATTAAAGATATCATTACAAAATGAACAAATCTGAGAGAGGTCCACATGTAGTACCTATATATGTAATATCAAAGCAATTGCACTTGCGGTTTTTAACAAGAAGTCGAAAATATCACTTTTTACCAAAAATGACAAAAATATTCACCAAAATTAGAGAATTAAAGATATCATTACAAAATGAACAAATCTGAGAGAGGTCCACATGTAGTACCTATATATGTAATATCAAAGCAATTGGACTTGCGGTTTTTAACAAGAAGTCGAAAATATCACTTTTTACCAAAAATGACAAAAATATTCACCAAAATTAGAGAATTGAAGATATCAACATGAAATGAACAAATCTAAGAGAGGTCTACCCAAGGTACATATACACCAAGTATCAAAGCATTCAGGCTTGTAGTTTTCAAGAAGAAGTCGAAAAAGTAAAACATTGACACCGACGACGACGATGACGGACAATCACTCATATGATAAGCTCCGCTCGACAAAGTCGACAGCGGAGCTAAAAATATAATGCTTTTAATCACATTTTTTTTTTTCCAAGAAACTCACAATCATCAGAAAAAAAAAATTCTATGTCATATTTGTAAATATTTCAAAAATACATGTATGTACCTCTTCACATTTCTATACTATCTTAGGTTTGTAGTAATAATTAGGCTGTATAAGTTGGTTTTGATAGTTTTATCTCTATGTACAGATGTTAAAGTTCACATCGGAGATAAACAATATAATTTTGCATTACCAAAATTAACTGGAACTGGATCGTGACAAGGGAGAATCTACAAAATGTGATTAAAAATGTCAAATTCGAAAGGAATCTCAGAATAAAATATTGCAAGATTCAAAAGGGATGACAAATCAACGGTACATACCTTTCAAAAAAGCATAGACTTTTCCCCATTTCCCGGCGTCAAACGGGTGTAGTTTTTCTAGACCTAGAAAGCCAATGTTGTAGTCTTGAGAGTAGACAATGGGCCATTGACGATCAGAAACATCTATGTACAGGTCTGTTTTGTGAAGCGGTTTCTTCTGTACCCTGAAAAAAAGAAAAATATTTGTGACAATGCTGATATTACCAAAGGTTGAGAAAATGTTGCGACCATGTCAAAAATATACTATCGACAATACAGTATGGCAGAAGAGACAACACAGAGACATAAAATACGAGTCTGGATAAAATGGAAACAAAAGCCAGATTTCTTGAAACTGAGGAAAATAATAAAATAAAATAGAAATGACAGAGGTACATACATACAAGAAAAAAAATGCAGTGAAAAACACAAAAATCTTACGGGTTTGAATTTGTTGAAGATGACGTCTTGTTGACACCTGAAAACAACAAGCCTAAATTCATTGTAGGCGGCAAGCGTCAAATAAAATAAACCGTATCAACGGATTTTATTCTAATGACAATTTTAAGAAATTGTAAGAAAAGGTAGCATTGAGCAGACAAAACTACACAATGGTTCAACAATATCAAGCGGCGATATAAAGGACGAAGATAAAAACACCGACAGTCAGTGCGCTCGCCCACCCAACTCAGCGGAGATGTTGGGAATGAATGGCGTGGGAAAGGAAGTACGTATAGAAGAATAACCACTGACGTCAATTCACAAGGAGTTTCCAGCGTAGAAACACTCAATTTCTTGGACAGTACGTCATGGTATAATTATCATATTTTAATGAGTATTTATTATGCGTTCAAAACAACCTGAGAGATAATAAATAATAGAATTTAAACTGACGTCCAAATTTATAATATAAACAGTAGAAGACCATCGATTATGACAATGCATATAACCTACACTTCGAAGTGTAATGTTTAAGCCAAATTAATAAGATAACATCAGCAAATACCTTTTTTTGCCTTCGTCGTCGCCGTTCGACGAACTTTCAGCAGCCATCTTGACGGGCAACCAAAGGCTCAAATAAAATTGACGTACGATGGCGCTCTTGCACAGAAACCGAAAGCTCATGTATTGTGATAAATTCGTGCCACCAAAATGGAGTTCCTGTTATTTTGAAACGAGTAAATTTCAATGATTATACGAGATACGATAATTGAAACCTTTCGGTGAACAACAAACTGTGTTTTGTGGTTTCATTTCCGGCTGACAGCTCGATCGCCTCTCAAACTCTAGTCAACGTGTAAAAACAGAAAACGGTCAGAACACCGTGAATTCTGACACTCACCTTCTCTACAGTTCTGGTGCGTCAGTCCGAAGTCTTAGTCCAGAGCGTGAATGTGAGTCACGATCTTTCTGCTGTCAATGTTTCCGCGAATCTTGCAAGTCGGATTTTCCCACCAGTCTGACCAGATGCTTTGTGCGCTCTCTAGAGTTCAATATCTAGATTGCTTTCGGATTCATTGACGACTGCAGTGAACTCGTAGAAATTCTTTCAAGTCACGAGACGAGAGACAAAGAATACAATAGTTCATAGTTATGAAGAAAATGTGAACTATTCCAGGACTAAACTTGCAATAAATGTTGTGGACGTCATAATTTATTTCCACAACGATTTTTTAAAAACGAAATGTTGTACAGCTTTTGCCACTGATGGCGCTCTGATACATAGTGCCTCTTCTGTATGTTCAGTTTAAGGTAGCGGGACTATTATTTGCATACTTATTTAGGGGCCCAAGCCTGAAGGGCGAGGCCCCTATTCTTATTGTCCGGTTTTTTAGGGGCCCAAGCCTGAAGGGCGAGGCCCCTATTCTTATTGTCCGGTTTTTTAGGGGCCCAAGCCCAAAGGGCGAGGCCCCTATTCTTATTGTCCGGTTTTTTAGGGGCCCAAGCCCGAAGGGCGAGGCCCCTATTCTTATTGTCCGGTTTTTTCTTCTTTCTTTCTTTCTTTCTTTCTTTCTTCCGTAACTTTTTTCGTCAAGCCGTTTGAGAAAACCGCTGAACGGAATGGTCTGATAATGCTCTATACTGATAGTCCCTAATGTGAACTGGTGCAACATGCTTTCAGAATTTCGATTGGTCAATTAGTTTGGCAGCCATATTGGATTGAAATAAAACCGGAAGTGGCTGTTTGACCACTTTCTAAGGGTCTAGGCCTCCAGATTTTTTTATGGTATATAGTACAACTCGTGTCTAATAGATATCAGCAATAAAAACTTTAGCGGTCATGTGACTTTTCTCGCCATTTTGTTTTCCCTAAAAATGACAAAAAACACTTAAAAATCTTCTTTTTCAGAACAACCTAGCAGAATGCTCTCATATGTAGTATTTAGCTTCTATATTTGAATCCCATTTATGTTTGAAAAAAATATTACAATTGGTCACGTGGTTTGGCCACCATTTTGGATTTCTTCTAAACAGGAAGTAGTTTTTTACTCTAGCAACACCTGAGGGAATATTTTCAATTTTGCTTCCTGCCATCTGTGTATCAGCCCTTTCAAAACCTAAAAAAAATTCAGATCA